TACTGTTTGACATTTCACACAAGGATGCAAACAAGCTAATTAAAATTGATGAAGACAAAATATTTCTGGAAGACCAAAAGAATGCTCGTATGATGAAGATGGCTGGAGAAGATGTAAAATTGTCTCAACAAGTAAAGCGAACAGCAGAGCGTCAACAAGCAGAAATAAAAAGAAAGCAGAATAAGGAAGAGAGAAGACAACAAGCAAATGCTGTCTTTACCCCTAGCTGTAGCCACTTTAGTCTTGATTGTGATAGTGATAACGAAGCAACAGAAGTCAGTGACATTCCTGATGACAATGATGATTATGAAATAGAAATTCCGGTTTATCACAAAAAACTAGTAACCCAATCAACTGACTGTGAACAAAGTCCTAAAAATAAAAAGCCACATATTCTCAATGAAATTTTGTCTTCTCCAAATGTATCATCCACACTTGATCAAATCAATTTATCTGACCAAAAACTCACTATATTGGCAGCTGCAATTGCTAGAGCAAGTGGAGAGGACCTCCAAAGTACACCATTATCAAGATCAACAGTCCGCCGCAAACATATCATGCACCGCTCATCAACTGAAAATCATATTTGGCAGAAATTTATGTTAAGTGAGAAACAACATATGGTTGTCCACTAGGATGGTAAGATGACAAGAGACGGCACCAACTATGAAAATCCAAAGTCCAATGTTGATAGAATTGCTATTGATGTGACTGGTTGTAATCTGGAGAAAATACTGGGTATTGTAAGATATCATCTGGCACTGGAGTGGCACAAGCAAAAGCCATCTTCCAGTTACTGACCATATGGAATGTAGCAAATTATATTGTCGGTATGTGTTTTGACACAACAGCGTCAAACACGGGTTTCAAAAATGGTGCGTGCATCTTGCTAGAGAAGTTGATGGAGAAAAATCTTCTCTACTTTGCTTGCCATCACCATATGCATGAAGTAATTATTGGGGAAATATACTCAGTTTTACTTGGACCCAGCAGTGGGCTCAACATTGCTCTATTTGAACGATTTCAGAAGTTTTGGCCAAGCATGCTTCAGCAAATGACCTGATGCTCTTAGCAAGAATTAAACAATATTCTAAGATCAACAAGGTCATTTCAAATGCTGCTATGAAGAAGCTTCAAAATCACACTTGGTACCTTGGGTTAGAAATGATTCCACTTCCATTATTTTCTGACAGGGTTTGTGAAAAAAAGTTGATTGTTGAAGCTATGATTCAAAGTGGAGCTGATTAGAGTATCAGGGGTATAAAGTGTTCAGCAGCAGAATTAAACAAGTTGGAAAAGAAGCAACTTCATGAGCTTGTTACATCATCATCAACTGCTGCTTTGCAGTCACTTGGTCTCGATGTAACCATTTTATCTGGAACGGATCCAAAGACCTGGTAGGAAATTGCTGAATTTTGTTATACTAAACCAATTATTAAAACTGTGAAAGTTATCAATGACACTGCTGAGCGTTCTGTTGCTCTTATGAGCACATTTAATCAATCCATCACAAAAACTGAATCTGAAATGCAGAAACTAATACAAGTTGTTGAGGACAACAGAAAACGCATTCCAGATTGCCGCAAAAGCATCTTGAAGACATATGCCACTGTTGCTAAAGACTAAACTTTTGATCTTGTGAATAGTGCATCATTTGAATGCTATTTGCATTATTTAAGGAATTTTTTGAAAATGATTAATAGTTTATCGTAGCTATAATTCAAGTTTTTTAAATATTGTTGTTGTGGCGCATGCTTTTAACACAGTAAATTTTATTTTCCTTGAGCAACCTCTAAATATTATCCAAAACACCTAAAATTTTGAACATAAGTTTTTATCAATCAAAGAAACAATATTTTAAACTGTGCAACATTTAATTCAAAAAAAATTTTTTTGGACACCCCTAATATATATATATATATATATATATATATATATATATATATATATATATATATATATATATATATATATATATATATATATATATATATATATATATATATATATATATATATATATATATATATATATATATATATATATAATAAATTTTGTTATATAATATATAACAAAAAATACTACAGTAGAAAAATGCAGCTTAGTTTAATTACACTTTTCTTTTGTTAAAAGTCTACCGTGACGTCAAATACTAAAACTTTTATGAATTAAACGCGCTTCAAAGGAATTGCCAAAGTCTGTAGATTGCGACGCATAATTTAAAGACTCCGATTAGTTGAAAAAAATGGAGAAGACGAGCTTTGGCAAAAACAACAACATTTGTTTTTCTCAGTATGCATTCATTATTTATTTTTAATCAAAAAAAATTGGTTCAAACCTTTTTTTTTAACATTATCTTTAATATGAACACAACATGTGTTGGGAGTTTGGGATCCCTTTAAGTATGCTCATATTACCCTAATCTACCCTATTTTTGCATTATTTTAATTGCGTTAACTTTTAGACGACATAAAAATGTAGCTTATTTGTTGAAGTTGCG